CATTGTTCACCCGCCGTTTTCCGCTCCCAGCGGAAGCGCGGCCGGCACACGGACAAACGTGCGGGACTTGGCGGGGGCTCCGGAGGAGACACAAACAGCCCGTTTTAATTAATGCTTAATGCATTTAATTAATGAATAAGAAACGCCGAGGCGGGAAAGGCTCCACCGAGGCTTTGGCCGGAACGTTCTCCTCCTCCTGCAGGAGGAACCACTTTGGCCTCCACCTCTTTCCTTAACTGCTCCTCTCCAACAGGAGCTTTTGTGCACGGGAGACACTTGGATTTTGCTCTTATTTTAAAGCAAGAGCTTCAAAAAACCTCCTGGTTTCCTAAGGGCTCAACCGGGACCGGTCTAGGGGGGCATAAAGCCCCCGGCCGGCACCGAAATCACTGGCGCCTCCGTCCCCGCGTCCTGCTGTCCCTGCGGCCCCCAGCGCCTCGTCCCTTAGCGGGGGTCCTGGGAGCCCCCGCTCTGCTGTTTCCCTTTACCTGTTGGACTCGGAACGAATCACGGCTCCATTAAGCACTCTCAGTTGATTTCTGTTAGAAAGACCGTTTTAGACCCCGGAGAACAGCAGGCCTCGCTTCTCCTCCGCCGCCTGTGCCATGCTCACCATGAAAAGGTCAAACTCCTCTTCGTGGCGCGCGATCATCTGGTTGACCGTTTCGTCGTCGGGAACCTCGTCTTCTTCCTGCGGGATCCCAAGAAACCCCCCCGGTCAGCGGCGAGAGAAGCCGGCGCGGCCGTTCGTACGCTCGGGAGCGGAAAAAAAAAATGCGGCAACCGAACATTGAAACCATCCGACGCTGGTCCGGTTGCCCGCGGAAAAAGAAAAAATGTGGGTGTTTGTGTCGATTTTCGTGTGGTTTTGGGGGTGCTCTCGGGCATCCACGTGGCAAAAGCAGCGTCGAGAGCTGGCACGTGCGTGGGGCGGACTCAGCAGCAAGGCCGAGGATTGAATGGGCGTGGAGACTGAACAACCCCTCTCACCTTTAGAGGTGGTTCCTCCAACTCAGCGTTCA